AGTGGATCTGGGGAACATATGAAAGCTTCCACTAAGATAAATTATTGAGTGTCAAGATGAGAAGCAATCATTGCTCTGATTTCCTAGCTCAGGGTCTTAATCTGAGCTCCACTGGGACTCTTATGCCCTACTGTCAATATAGCCACTAAAGTTGGCTTTTAGAAGAAATACTCCTGAAGTGAAGATTGTTGGATACAATGAGTTCTAAATTTCTCTTCAAAGAATCAGTATGTCAGTAAGTTCAGTTCTTTTTCCTCCCTTTTAAAGTTTAACTTCTTCATAGTTTCAGTAAACAACATTTTCCACCAGTTTTAATCAGTTGTTCACATCTGTTCCACAGGTCATCTGCTCCATCCCAACTCACCCTGATCACCTGCTTTGACCTGAGTCACCCCTGGTTACCCGCTCTGATCTGAGTCATCTTTAGTTACCTGTTCTGTAACCATCCTTCCTGCCAAACTGCTCACCCCAACACTTTGGCTCATACTGCTGCTCCCTTTAGAAATAGCCAAACAAAATTAGCTTAGACTGTACAGTCCAACGCTAGCCAATAGGAGAAAAACACAGCAGTAGGAGCTACCTGCATCAGGGATAAAAAGTGCTTCCCCTCCCCTGTTCTGGTGTATGCTTGCCATTGCTCCACCTGTGAGACACACCCTTCTATAGAGGTAAATTGCTTTGCGTAGAAAGTTTATATTCAAGTGCTACTTCTTTTGTGGCACTAAAAATTTACATATAACAATTGGTGGCCCATGTGAGGAAAAGTCATTCTCTTCTGGATGGTTTTGGGTCCTTTCTTGTGAGGATATGTAACCCACTGCCTCATTGTGGTAGCCACAGGGTTAAGGAAGTGAGACCCATCCAGTGTGATAAACAAACCCGGACTCTCAGCAATGTGGGAGAAAAAGGCCTACGAATACTGCGGTGACCAGAAACGCTGTGCACAGACCAAGGAAAAGGCACTGCAGGATTCAGTAAAGTATTTTGCTGGGGGTAGGGACCAAGATAAGAAAAGCCACAGGGTGATGGGGAGTAGTAAAGTATTCCTTGTTGGAACATATCAAGGCAAAAAAAGTTGTGGAGGTTGGGGAGCAGCGAAGTATTCTTTGGTCAGGGTGGCTTGGAGGTTAAAAAGAGGTGAGACATCTCCACTGGAGGGAATGAACCTCACACAAACCTCTAGCAGTAAGAGAAGTGAGAAATTTCCAGTAGGGAAAATTGGGCCTCACCACAAAAGACAAGAAGTTTCCAGTAAGGGAAATTGAACCTCAACCTGAAACCATCAAGATGGGAAATACCCCAAGTAAGGTAAGAGATAATAAATCTAGCAATAATTTTCCCCAGGCCTAATGATAAAATATTAAAAATAACAAGAAAACAATACCCTATTCTTTTAAAATCCAAGGCAAATTTAAAACCTACAATTAATAATTAAAGGTCTTCTCCAGGATGGGCTTCTTGAACCCTGTATGTCTCCCTGTAACACTCCAATACTTCCTGTACAGAAGCCAGGTGGTTCATACTGGTTAGCGCGAGACCTTAGAACCACTGATCAGATAGCCAAACAGGTACCATTTCTTAGCTGTACAACTGCCTTGCTTTACAGTTAGATAAACATAGGACACATGGAGTTGCATGCTAGAATAAGCCAGACCTTATCTGCACTCCTGCCTAGGTCCTAGGGTTTACTAGTAGCACATAATTAAAATCCCAAACTTACAAGGTTTTCAACAAAAGTAAAGTTTGCTGAAAGTTACAATGTAACATATGTTATCCTAACTTCCAATCTTGTGGCCTTAGGCAGTCTAGTCCACAGATATAAAAGAAGTTTGCTTTGGAAAGAAAATGGTTATTATCTTTGACAAAAAGTAGAAAAGGAGGGTGGAATTTATGTAAAAAGAATCTTTTTCTTGCCTTAAAGTAAACTGGTTGTTTAAAGAAAGGGATGTTTACAACAAGTCAGAGAGTTAAGGCATGTCAAAGATTGCCTGTGAAAGTCATGAAAAATGTTATACAAGAGAATTCATTGAAGAAACAGTTTGTGTGCAAGATGTATAAGGAAGGTAAAATACACTTTTGGTAAAAGGATTATAAAGAGGCATGTGAATGTAAATTTTTACCTATATAAAAGGTTAAAACATTGTTTTAAAGGTTTAAGCAAGTTTTGAAATGTTAATTGTAAAGTAAATTATGTGTGTAAACATAATGGCTAAAGTTAAAGGGGTATCATCCAGTTTTGCTGTAAACTGGAAATTAAAATAAAAGCACAAAACGTTTTTCTTAAAGCACTAAGCTGTTCTTTTTTTAAAAAAATTAAGGGTTAAAAAGAGTCTATAAAAATCTTACCTTCTGGTCAGACAATAAAATTGGGTAATATGTCTACACGGTTTTATTAAAATTGAGTTTAACATTAACAGCACACTAATATAAAGATGAAATTTAGCTTATCTAGTATAAAATCATATAGAAAGCACTGTCAAATATAAAATGGTGTTTGGCATTCTTTGGTCTAAAAACTAATATAAATAGGTACTAAAGAGAATTCAGAAGTAAAATGGATATTGCCAGACCAGAAAAAAAAGTATTATCCAAACCTCTTATGAGGGAAATTTTGTTCCAACTGCATCAAGGGACCCATTGGGGGACACAGGCTATGCGTGATGCAGTTTCAGAGTTTATGGGTGTATAGGAATTTATACCCTGGCCACACAATTTACAGATAGTTGCTTAGTATATAAGAAAACTAATAAACAAGCTATAAAAAGATACCTCTTGGGAGAAGGAGTCCAGGCTTAAGACCATTCCAAAGTTGATTACACAGAAATGCCATGAATTAGTCATCTAAATTATCTACTATTAAAAGTACATCACCTTACTCATTAGGTAGAAGCTATTCTCTTTTCAAGTACAACTGCTAATAATGTAGTCAGGCATTAGTTGAAAATATTATACCCAGGTTTAGATTAATGCAAAAAAAACATTGATTCAGATAATAGGACTAATTTCACTGCACATGTCATTAAGAAATTAGTCCAGGTACTAGATATAACATGGGAATACTATGCTCCCTGACACTCATCTTCATCGGAGTAAGTAGAAAGGTCTATCACCCTATTGAGAATCTGAACTGCCCCCCCAAAAGACATAGACCTATCCCCTTATAAGATGCCTTATGCATTGTCTTATCTACGTTCTACTACTGATCTTCCTACATTTGAAACAAAAGATCAGTTTCTGAGAAATTCTATACTTGGTTTATCTTCCACTTTCCTTTGCCTCAGAACTAAAAGTCTTTTAGCACAGGTGCCACCCCTACAGTTTCCAGTACACCAACATCAGCCTGGGGACCACATCCTTGTCAAAAGCTGGAGAGCAGGAAAAGCTCTAACCCATCTGGGAAGAATGTTATCTAGAGCTCCTAACTACAAAAACTGCAACCCAGACAGCAGAAAGAAGATGGACCTATCAAAGTGGAGTCAAGAAAGCACCACCTCCTTTGGAGTCATGGGCCATAGTACCAGGGGGAAACTCTACCAAACTAAAGCTAAGTAAAGTTTAACCCTCTTTTATTTATTACTTCTTCTTCTTTCCTTGTTCTACCGCTGACCACTTTGTTATTAATGTAACCAGGTCACCTTTTCCTCAGACAATCACATTTGATGCCTGTCTGGCCATACCTGTGGGGATCTCCAAAACCAAAGACAAGTGGCCTTCTTTGAAAAATATCTCTGTCCTTCTGAAGTAACTTCCAACCTCTGCAACCCTTGCTTCATAGAAACCAAGTCCCCGACATTTCTCAAATTTTGGGAACTAAACAAGGACAAGTTTCCAGGATGGTACTGTCCCTCCTGGGATGATGTCCTATGGACTACTGAGGAACAAGGATGGACTTCCTCAAAGGACTGCGCCTCTTTAAAACCACACCTCCATTTCATCAAAGAAAGCATTGTCTCTACTTGTGAACAGTACCAATGCAATCCAGTAAAGCTCTCTGTTCTTACCTCTAGGTCTACTGATCCTGACCCCACTTTAGGTCGTTTCTACAGCACAGAAGCCAATTTGGCCAACACAGGCCTCATAGGGTCTTTTGAAATATCCTCTTCACTCCCTTCCCCTTCTTCTCCTTTTTGACTTTCTTCTGATCAAACTGTCACCCATTCTATATGCAATGACAGGATGTAGACATTGTAGAAGTAAATGATTTAAAACAAACTTTAGCAATAGAGACAGGATATAAAGATACAAATGCCTGGTTGGAATAAATCCAATATTCTGTCCAAACATTAAACAAAAACAATTGTTACGCTTGTGTGCATGGCAGACCAGAGGCCCAGATTATCCCCTTTCCACTAGGATGGTCCTAGTGGATGCATGGGATATATAGTAGCTCTTTTACAGGATCCTACAGCCTGGGGAACAAAGTCATGCCAAGCTCTCTCTCTGCTATATCCTGAAGTTTAACACCCTGCGGGTCAGCCCCCAGGGCCATCCAGCTTCTGTCTCCCGACACTAAGTTCACTTCATGTCTCTCATGACAAGGAGGAAACCGTGTTCCTTGGAAACCTAAAGAGATGCAGTGAGCTTAAGACTTTTCTAGAACTAACCAGTCACTCAGCCTTTGTTCATCCCCAAGAAGACATATGGTGGTATTATGGTGGACCTTTATTGAACAGTCTGCCAAGGAACCAGAGTGGCATTTGTGCTCTAGTCCAGTTGGCTATGCCTTTCATCCTGGCATTTCATTCACCAGAAGAAGAAAATATACAACACTGTAAAGCAAGAGAAGTCCCTCATGGGTCTTCCAGCTCTCACATCTATTTAGATGAAATTGGAGTCCAACAAAATGGTTCCATAAACAAAAAGAAATCATAGCCTCAATTCTTACCTCTATCGTAGGAGTAGCGGGTGTACTCATTCTTGTCAGGTGTTGTGTCATACCATGCATCCGTCAGCTAGCGCAAAGACTCATAAAAGCAGCACTTATTAAAACCTACCTTAACTCTCCTCCATGTTATTCAAAGGAGCTTCTTCTTTTAGAAAATCAGCAGAACAACTAAGCCAAGGTATGTTAAGGAAGTTTGAAGAGAAAGAGCTGTAAAAAAATTCAAGAGGAGGGAGTTTTCAGATACAATGAATTCTAAATTTGATTTCAAAAAATCAGTGTGTCAGTATGTTCAGTCCTTTGCCCTCTATTTTAAAGTTTAACTATCTCATAGTTTCAGTAAACAAACTTTTACACCAGTTCTAATCAGTAGTTCACATCTGTTCCCCTGGTCATCTGCTCTGTCCTGACTCATGCTGATCACCTGCTTTGACCTGAATCACCCTGGTTATTTGCTCTGACCTAAGTAACCCTTATTTATTTGTTCTGTAACAGTCCTTTCCACCAAACTACTCACCCTGCCACTCTTGCTCATACTCCTGCTCAATTTAAAATAGCCAATCAGAATTAGCTTACACTGCGTGTTCCAATCCTAGCCAACAGGGGAATGGCACAGCAGTAGGGGCTACCTGCATCAGGAATAAGAGCCCCTCCCCCTCCCCTGTTACGGTGTATGCTCACCATTGTCCCAAATGTGAGATGCACCCTTCTATAGAAGTAAATTGCCTTGCTGATAAAATTTATATTCAAGTACTACTTCTTTTGTAGCACTCAAAATTTACATATAACAAAGATGAAGTGTGAAAAGACTAGAATGATGGGCACCCAAAATATATACAGCATAGGAAGAAACATTCTTCTATGCAAAATTGTAATTTAATCCCTCAACACACTAATAAGATACAGTCAATGTGCTAGGCAAAGCAGCCAAAGGAACTAGGATCAAGATTTTTGACTCTAATGACTAAAGCTAGAATACGTTGTTTAGAAAAAGTTGCTCTGAGCAAAAAATTCCCATAAATATACAGCCGAAATAAACAATGACTATTTGGTGTTAAACATGGAAAAAGATTAAAAAAAAATAAAGTCCTAGGGAGAGAAGCACAAATTCAGGCACTTAAGATAGTTTAAAGTCAACTAGAACAAGTTGTACAGAAAAGAGGATGGCCCTGGAAAATTTTCCTAAACTCTTCTTGAGTATGTTTAGCCTATCCTTTATGAACATTATACATTAGGTTGTGATATAAAGTTAGAATCAAAAATTATGAATGGGTAATTTTTTAAGAAAAGTTCTTTCCTTTATCTTTTGACTAGAAGAAGGCTCTTACTTGCTAAGTACTCAGTAACCTTTAAGCTTCACCCAGTGCTATAGTTCACATATCTGTCCCTTCTAAACTTCATCATGAAATTTGATCCCCTTGTAGTGGTGCTGGAAAATGAATCCTAACTGGGAGTGTTTGGTTTACAGAGATGGATTGCACAGGAACACATTAACAAACTCTGGGGGAGAGTGAGTAAGTACTCACTGTATTAGTTCCCTGGCAAGAAAAGAGAGTTGTTAGAAATAAAAGATCCTGTGACTCCCCACTCCCCACCTCCCCCAACCTCCACCTCCATCACCACCCTTATTTCCTTTCTAGCCATGTAAAACCATGAGCCAAATAAAACTTTTTCATCAAGGCTTTTATTTTTTTAAATTATATTTTATCTCCTTTAATCTCAAGCTATTGAAGTTACCCACAAGAATAACCACAAATTATGACCAATATTCAGATCAGGGTACTTTACAGGAGTTCCTGTAGATCAGGGAGATATCATTGTTGTATCCTGATTAGCAGGTAAATATATATTATATAAATATTTATTTTTATGTAATATATATGTAATATTTTACTTAAAGTACAATTAAAATATACATATTTTTTAATTGTACTTTAGGCTATGGGATACATGTGTAGATCATGCAGGACTATTGCATAGGTACATACATGGCAAGGTGGTTTGCTACCTCCAACCCCCGTCACCTACATCTGGCATTTCTGTCCATGTTATCCTTCCCAAACATCCCCAACCCATGTTATCCTGCCCCAAACTCCCCACCCCCCAATGTCCCTCTCATATGCACCTAAAGGACCCCAATGTGTGATGCTCCCCTTTCTGCTTCCATGTGTTCTCATTGTTCAATACCCACCTATGTGTGAGAACATGAGGTGTTTGGTTTTCTGTTCTTGTGTCAATTTGCTGATAACGATGGTTTCCAGATTTATCCATGTCCCTAAAAAGGACACAAACTCATTGTTTTTTATGGCTGCATAGTATTTCAACGTGTATATGTACCATATTTTCTTTTTCCAGTCTATCATTAATGGGCATTTGAATTGGTTCTAGGTCTTTGCTATTGTAAACAGTGCCACAATGAACATATGTGTGCATGGATCTTTATAATAGAATGATTTATAATCCTTTGAATATATACCCATTAACAAGAGTGTTGGGTCACATGGAATTTCCATTTCTAGATCCTTGACGAATCGCCACACTGTCTTACACAATGGTTGAACTATTGTACACTCACACCAACAGTGTAAAAGTGTTTCTATTTCTCCATATCCTCTCCAGCATATGTTTTCTCCTGACTTTTTAATGATAGCCATTCTAACTGGCGTGCGATGGTATCTCAATGCGGTTTTGATTTGCATTTCTCTAATGACCAGTGACGAGCATTTTTTCATATGTTTTTTGGCCACATGAATGTCTTATTTTGAAAAGTATCTGTTCATATCTTTTGCTCACTTTTGAATGGGTTTGTTTGTTTTCCTTGTAAATCTGCTGTAGTTCTTTGTAGATTCTGGATATTAGCTCTTTGTCATATGGGTAGCTTGCAAACACTTTTTCCCATTCTGTTGGTTATTGATTAACTCAAATGACTGTTTCTTTTGCTGTGCAGAAGCTCTTAAGTTTAATTAGATCCCATTTGCCTATTTTGGCTTTTGTTGCCATTGCTTTTAGTGTTTTAGTCATGAAGTCCTTGCCTATGCCTATGTCCTGAATGGTTTTGTCTAGGTTCTCTTCTAAGGTTTTTATGGTGCGAAGTTTTATGTTTAAATCTTTAGTCCATCTGGAATTAATATTAATGTAAAGTGTAAGGAAGGGGTCCAGGTTTAGCCTTCTGCACATGGCTAGCCAGTTTTCCCAACACCATTTATTAAACAGGGAATCCTTTCCCCATTGCTTCTTTTCGTACATTTTGTCAAAGATCAGATAGTTGTAGATGTGTGGCATTACTTCTGAGGACTCTGTTCTGTTTCATTGGTCTATGTCTCTGTTTTGGTAAGAGTACCATGCTGTTTTGATTACAGTTGCCCTTGTAGTATAGTTTAAAGTCAGGTAGCATGATGCTGCCAGCTTTGTTCTTTTTGCTTAGGATTGTCTTGGCTATTTAGGCTCTCTTTTGGTTCCATATGAAATTCAAAGTGTTTTTTTTTTCCAGTTCTGTGAAGAAGGTCAATGGTAGCTCAATGGTAATAGAAATGAATCTATAAATTAGTTTGGGCAGTATAGTCATTTTCACGATGTTGTTTCTTCCTAACCCATGAGCATGGAATATTTTTCCATCTGTTTGTGTCCACTCTTATTTCCTTGTTCAGTGGTTTGTAGCTCTCCTTGAGAGGTTTTTGCACCCTTTGTTAGTTGTATTCCTAGGTATTTTATTTTCTTTGTAGCAATTGTGAATTTGAGTTCACTCATGATTTGGCTCTCTTTAAGTCTGTTATTGGCATATAGGAATGCTTGTGATTTCTGCACATTGATTTTGTATCCTGAGACTTTGCTGAAGTTGCTTATCAGTTTAAGGAGATTTTGAGCTGAGATGATGGGGTCTTCTAAATATACAATCATTTTGTCTGCAAATAGAGACAATTTGACGTCTTCTTTTCATGAATGAATAACCTTTGTTTCTTTTTCTTGCTTGATTACTCTGGCTAGAACTTCCAATGCTATATTTAATAGGAATGGTGAGAGAGGGTATCCTTGTCTAGTCCCTGTTTTCAAAGGAAATGCTTCCAGTTTTTGCCCGTTCAGTATGATACTGGCTGTGGATTTGTAATAAATAGCTTTTATTATTCTGAGATACGTTCCATCAATATCTAGTTTATTGAGAATTTTTAGCATAAAAGCCTGTTGGATTTTGTCAAAGGCCTTCTCTGCATCTATTGAGATGATCGTGTGTTTTTTGTCTTTTGTTCTGTTTATGTGATGGATTATGTTTATAGATTTGTATATGATGAATCAGCCCGCATCCTGGGATGAAGCCTACTTGATCATGATGGATAAACTTCTTGATTTGCTGTTGCATTCAGTTTGCCAGTATTTTATTGAAGATCTTTGTGTCCATCATCATGGATATTGGCCTAAAGTTTTCCTTTTTAGTTGAGTCTTTGCCAGATTTTAGTATCAGAATGATGTTGGTCTCATAAAATGAGTTAGAGAGGATTCCTTCTTTTTGTATTGTTCGAAATAGTTTCAGAAGGAATGATACCAGCTTCTCTTTGTATGTCTGGTATAATTCAGCTGTAAACCCATCTGAACCTGGACTTCTTTTGGTTGGTAGGCTATTAATTGCTGCTTCTACTTCAGACCTTTTTATTGAACTATTCAGGGATTCAACTTCTTCCTGGTTTAGTCTTGGGAGGGGGTACATGTCCAGGAATTTATCCATTTCTTCCTGATTTGCTGGTTTATGTGCATAGGGTTGTTTGTAGTATTCTCTGATGGTGGTTTGCATTTCTGTGGCTTTAGTGGTGATATCCCCTTTAATATTTTTATTGCTTTTATTCGATTCTCTCTTTTCTTATGAGTCTATTTTGTCGATTTTTTCCAAATAATCAACTCCTGGATTTATCGATTTTTTTGAAGAGTTTTTCATGTCCCTATCTCTTTCAGTTCTGTTCTGATCTTAGTTATGTCATGTCTTGTCTTCTGCTAGCTTTTGAATGTTTTTGATTTTGCTCTTTTAGCTCTTTCAATTTTGATGATAGAGTGTCGATTTTAGATCTTTCCTTGCTTCTCATTTGGGCACTTATTGCTATAAATTCCCTCTAGACACTACTTTAAATGTATCCCAGCAATTCTGATACACTGTGTCTTTGCTCTCATTGGTTCCGAAGAACATCTTTATTTCTGCCATCATTCCATTGTTTATCCAGTTGACA